GGGTACAGCATGACACCCCCCAGTGGGCACCTCACAAGAGCCCCCTCCGCTTCACTGCTGTCCCCAGGAGCCCCTGGTGCTTCCTCTGCCTGGAACGCTCTCTCCAGCTTAGCCTACGTCGCAGGACCGTTGTTTGGGGAGTGCAAAGGTGGGCCGCAGTGATGAGGGGAGGGCCCTGTGTGCCACGCGTGTCTGCCTATGTGGGGGAGAGCAAGGGACCGTGAGCGGGCAAGCTGTAACCTGCCCTCTGCTGCCCCTTTCCTGGAAGGTCTGTGGGGCTGACCACCAGCCTCCTCCCCCTGCAGTCTCAGACATGGGGTGGGGTGGGGGGGGAACGGCAGGCAGCCCTTCCTGTCTCCCACTCCCCAGCCTGACCTGGGTCTGCTTGGCACTTCAGGCTGCCGGACGCTCTGCCACCCGTCTTTCCAGCCCTTCTACTCGGCCATCTTGGGCTCCCGGCACCCCCCTTCGGAAGGCCCAGCGGGGGAAGCAGGTGAGTGGCGGGAAGGGGGAGGGGGAGACTCTGGGGAGGGGCAGCTGGGTGGCGTCCTCCTGCTGCAATTGGGGAGGGGGAGGTTTGGCCTGGTGGAGGCAGGGGAGGGGGCACAGGTCTCTCCACTGCGGGAGGAGCAGTCGGCCCATNGTCCGGACTTCAACTCCCAGAATTCCCCAGCAGTGGTTAGGACAGTGTTTCTCAACCTTGTCAACTTGAAGATATCCGGACTTCAACTCCCAGAAATTCCCCAGCCAGCATTCGCTGGCTGGGGAATTCTGGGAGTTGAAGTCCGGACATCTTCAAGTTGCCAAGGTTGAGAAACACTGCTCTAATACACACACACCCTTTCCTCTCCTCGCAGGGAGCCCCGGGCACGTCCCGCACAAATGCAACAGCATTAAGCACCGGATCATCTCCCCGAAGGTGGAGGTCCGCCCCTGCCCCTTCCCGGCCCTGACGGAAGTGCAGAATATCTCCGGCAGCCCCGAGGCCAGAGCCGAGCCGGAGCTGGTCAAGGGGCCTCTCCTGGACAGCAAAGGCCCCAAGCCGGCCAAGACCGGCTCCCCCCCCATGGCCGATGCCCTCCCCGACTCCACGCAGCCCTCCCCTGCCCTGGCCCGGCCCGGCGGCTTCCCCAAGCAGGAGCGGCCCCCGGGCACCCTCTCCGTCAGCCTGCCCGGCAGCGCCATCTTCGTCATGGCCGGCCCGAGCAGGCCCGAGAAGCCGCTGGCCCTGACCCCCAGCCAGCACCTGGTCTCTGGAGAGGGGGGGGCGGTCCCCGTGGCACCCCTGGGCCTGGCCGTCTTGCCCGGCCTGGTCCTCTCGCAGAGCCTGGAGTCCGCCATGGAGACCAACGAGGGGGCCTCGGACACCTTCGACCCCGACCGCTTCCTGAACAGCCCCAAGCAAGGACAGACGTACGGAGGCGGCCCGGGCCTCCAAGCCGAACCAGAACCCCCGGAGAAGGCCCCGGCCGCGGGCTACTCGCTCTACGTCTCCGCCAACCGCTTCTTCATCCAGGACGACGCGGCCGGGCAGGGGCCCACTCCTCTCTCGGCCAGCCCCACGGTGGCGGAAGCCAAGAGCTGCACGGAGGCGCCCATGGAGACAGCGGGCCATGAAGGGGACTCCCGGGCCGAGGGGCTGCCTGGCGAAGGGGGCGGAGAGGCCGGGGGGGTGCCGGAGATCTCCCCCAAGGAGCTGCAGGAGGAGCTGTACTCGGTCATCCAGCGAGTGGCCGCGGCGGCCGCGGGAGGCCCCTTCGGCCTGTCCTTCGACAGCCACTTCCCAGACCTCCTGAGCGAGCTGATGACGGAGGGCACAGCGGCCGACAGCGCAGGCAGCCCGAACGGCCCCAGTCCCGGGGCGGGGAGCCCGGAGCCGCTTCTGCCGGAGCCCCCGGGCGAGCCTTCCTATGCGGTGGAGGCCGCCTCGGGGGGTTCCGCTCAGCCCTTGGTCTCCATCACCGACTTCTCCCCCGAGTGGTCCTACCCGGAGGTGGGTGCTCAGCCCCAGAGGCCTGGCTGGAGGGGCAGAGGGGTGGGTGGGGTGTCGGACCCTCTTTGACTCCTGCCTTTTCCTCCCGGGGGGCCAGGGGGGCGTCAAGGTGCTGATCACCGGCCCCTGGATGGACGATTCGGAGTCCTACAGCTGCCTCTTCGGGCAGATCTCGGTCCCGGCTGCCCTCATCCAGTCCGGGGTCCTGCGCTGCTATTGCCCAGGTAGTGGAGCCGAGAGTGGGGAGGGGGAGGGAAGGGCCCCTCTGCTGCCGGCCTCCTCCGACCGTCCTCTCCCGCTTCCTCCCGCAGCCCACGAGGTGGGGCTGGTGCCGCTGCAAGTCGCCCGGGACTCCTGCCTGCTCTGCCCTTCCGTCCTCTTTGAGTACCGGGCACGGAACTTCCTGGCGCTGCCCAGCACCCAGCTGGACTGGCTCTCCTTGGACGGTGAGTGCGGGGTGCCCCCCTCCCCCCAGCTGCGGGCAGGGGGCCCAGTGGGCGTGTCCCTGCAGGCCTCCCCTGCCCTCTCCGGGGGTAGCCTCCGCTTAATGACCATTCAAAGGGGAGAAAAAGGGATTCCTTCTGACCATTCCTCGCTCTTACGACCGTTCACGTGGTCACGCGTTGCAAAGTCAAATGGCCCCTACTTGTGACCGTTGCCGTATCCTCGGATTACGTGGGGTCCCTTTCCAAACGTCGGACAGGCAAAGATTAACGGGGAGGGCAGGCTCGCTTAACGACCGCCTTGCTAGCTTAACGACTGCAGCGGTTCCCTTAACAACAAGAAAAGGCTGTAAAGTGGAGCAAACCTCACTTAGCGACTGTCTTCGCTTAGCAACCGAAACGTGGGGCTTAATTGCGGCCGTACGTTGAGGACTGCCTGTAGAGTCAAGGCCGAAAGGGGCCTGGGGGTGTGTGTGTGTCTCCGTGTTGCCCCTCGGAGCCCACGGCGGGCACTGCCCCATGGCCGAGCGGAGGGCTGGGGCTGCGGAGGGCTGTTTGTGCCGGGGTGTCTCCTTACGCGGATATTCCTGGCATCTGCAACGGAAAGGCTGGGAGGGGCCGGGAGTTTCCATGACGGCTGCGCTGGGCCCACAGATCCCCTCGGGGGGGGGGGAGGGCCAGGCCAGGCTGCCCCCTCCCCCCTCCCAGCCCCAGCACCCCTCGCCCTGCTCAGCAGGGGTGGCCATGGGGCATCGGAGCAAGCACCCTGCTTCGGTCCCCGGGGGGGGGGGTACAGCAGAACCCCCCCCACTGCCCTGGCCGAATGCCCCCTCACCCTCCACCCCGGCCTCTGCCAGACCAACCAGGTGGGCCAGTGTGGCTGCGGGCAAGGAAGGAATCTGCAGGTGGGAAATCTTCCGATGTGGTGGGGGGCAGCTGGGGGCTTCTGCACCCCCTTCCTTGCAGATTCCTTCCTTGCCCGCAGCCACACTGGCCCACCCCGTGCCAGGGCTACCCCCCGTGCCAGGGCTCCAGTTGCCCAGGCTGCCTCAAAGCAGGTGGGCCAGGGAGTTCTCGGGCGCCTTCAGCCAGGGGGTGGCCTACCTGCTTCCGACCCAAAGGGGGGGGGAGCAGCCTGAGCCCAGCCCACCCCGGGAAGACCTCACCTGGCCAGAGCCTGGTTAGATCCTCTGCGCTGTCCTTGCCAGTCGGGGACAGAGGCTTTGAGGGGTGCCTGCAGAGCGGCCCCTCCCCTGCCTGTGCCCGAGGGCATCTGTCCAGGCACGCACGGCCGCACCCCCCCACCCCCCCCATGTGACTGGAAAGAATCCCTTTCTGAGAAGAACCAGCGCGACCTGCCCAAAGGCCCTGGCAGAGGGCGGGCTGTGCCCCTGCCGCTCCCCCCCCCTGGCAGCTGGGGAGAGGAGGCAATGGGGAGCAGGGGGAGGCCCTGCTAGGTGGGGAGGAGAGGGGCCCCTTGCCCCCCCCCAGAGGAGGCCGTGCGGGTGTGTGTGTGGGGCCTCCTCTCAGCCACCAGCTGCAGGCGAAGGTCCCTCCGGCTGACCTGCCAGAGCTCATTAAAGGATTCCCGCCCCCCCCCNGGGAATGGGCCCAGCTGGATGAGGGAAAGGGGCGAATCTGCTCGGTGCTTGGAAAAGTCTGGCCAGGGACCCCTCCCCTAGGAGAGGAGGCTGGGGAGCTTGGCTGCTCTTGTGGCCCCTGGACAAAGGGGGCCCACGCAGGCCCTTCGCTCTTCCCCCCCAGGGGACTCATCCAAAGGGAGGGCACCATAATAGGCTGTGTTGCCCGTGCAGAGTCCCAAGAAGCCCCACACAGCTGCCCTCAGGGGGGCAGGCAGATGTGGGCACAGCAGCCCTCTGACAGACCCCCTCAAACCTTTGCAAGAGACGGAAGCCCCCCCCCACAATGCCCACCGCTCCCACTCCTCCAATTTCTGTTGACTGCAGCCGTGAGCCAAAAGGGGGAAACTCCGGATAATCCCAGCTGGCTGCCACATCCTTTTGCAAAGTGATGCTCTACTTTGGGGAGGGGCCACAGTGGGGCGTTAGCATCTCACAGTGCGACTCTGCCAGACCCCCAAGTGGCCCCGGGGTGGGGGGGGTGGGGGAGACAACGAGAGAGCTGGTCCTTTTCCTTCCATACTTAAAAAGGTGTTTATTTCGAAGCCCAGAAAGCAGGCACAGAAAGGAGCAGGGTTTCTTTGGCCTTCCCAGACAACGGGGGTCTGGGCGAGGGGGGGGGGAGGAGGCTGCACCCCCCCCCAAAAGAGGCCGGTGGGGCCAGGCCTGTGCAAAATGCAGCAGCAGCAGCAGCAAAAAGGAGGGGAGGGGGCAACCAGCCTTTGCATGTGAAGGCTGGTCAGGAGGAATGCAGCTGGCATTTGGGGAGGGGGACAGGAGGTTACGAGGGTGGGGGAGGGGGGGTCCCAAGGCACAAAGCCACAAATCCTTTCCCTCATTCCCAGCCAGAAGGGCTTTAGGGCCGCCCCCCCCCCTCTTTGCGCATCCCGAAAACCAGGGCCAGGCACGCCCCCCCCTCCCCCAGTCCATCTTTGGTGTAGGGGAGGCACAGGAACAGCATGGCAGGAGTCCTCTGGGGGGGGGGGGCTGCAGGCCTCCCCCGCCCCCAACCTGCCATGGGCGCAGGGCTGGGAGGGGGAGGAACGATGGTCTCCAGCCGCAGAGGGAGAGGAGGGGGGAGGCCGTCCCATGTTGAACTGCCTTGCGGCTCCCGGCAGAAGATCAGAGTTCTAGGAGCAAGAAAGAGGGATGAAGATGATGATATTATTATTGTTGTTGTTGTTGTTAATGCATTTTATTTTATTTTTAGATTTATGGGTCACCCATCTCTCTATGAAGTGAATCTGGGCAGCTTGCAATGGCCATGAATACTGATATAAAATCATTAAAAACAACAAATCCTTGGGACAATTATTGAACAAATAAAGAAAGTTAAAACAGAACATCTAACCCCTTGTGGCTCAGAAAGGCTGGGACTCCCAGCACAGATGCCCCCCCCCCCTCGGAGACCCTCCCCATAACTCCACAGATGCAGAGGTGGACAAGACTGGATGCCCGAGACCCCCAAGGAGGGCCCAGCAACACCCCCCCCACAATTCCAGAGAGCAGAGTTTCGGGGGGGGGGGAGAAAAACAGGAATTGTGTCAGGATCTCCCTTGCTGCCCCCCCCCTCTGTTCAATTGATAGAAGTATGAGGGGGGGGCAATGTGGATTGCCGCAGCCCCCAAATACATACACAGAATGGCCCCCCAGCTCAGAATGAGGGGCCCCCACAGGAGGGCGGAGGACATGCAGCTGCCTGGGGTCCCCCCCTCTCTGCTTGGCACAGCTGCCCCACCAGCCCAGCCTCTGGGAGGAGCCCCCACCCACCCTACCCTCCGCCTATCCTCAGCTGTTTCCTAACAGCTGGACAGGCTGGTTGATGCCCCTCCTAAAACAGCTGCTCTCAACTCCCCCCCCCCAGCCTAAGAAAACCTCTTCTGCTCGGAGGGCAACTTCAGAAGAAGGCAGCAGCTGCCCCCCCCCCCTACACATCCAGAAGGCCAACCAGGGGACGGGGCTGCAGGAAGAGGCCTGGCTCCCTCGGGGCAACCATGGCAGGTCTAAGAGGGGCTCCCCCCAGATGGCTGGAGGGGTCTCACAAAGTGCCAAACCCAGAGAGGAGCGTTGGCTCCCCGGAGAATTGAATCCTGGCCAAACTATCAGGTGCTGCCGGTCACCAGTGGCAGCCCAAATCCCCCCCCACTTACCTGGAGGCCCCTTGGGGCTTGGCTCCGGCGCTGGCAGCTCCCCCAGGCGCTGGAAGTTAATGCTGGCGTAGCTGTGGGGCGTCCCCGCCTGGCAGGGGCCGGTAGACGGGCGCAGAGGGAGGGTCAGGTCCAGGTCGATGTAGTTCAGCCCGCTCTCCCTCGGGGAGGCGTCCCCCTCGGCTGCGCACGGGCAACCCGCAAACGGTGGCAGTGCCAGCAGCTTGGCGGAGCTATCGGGGGCTGGCACCTGGCTGGCGTCTGCCGGCATCCCTCGGAGCGACAGGTTGACGTAGTTGGCTCCCGAGCACGAGGCGGCTGCCTTGGCACCTCCGGGCGGGTCCGCAAACAGGCTGAGGGGGTAGCGGGCAGCCTCTTCCAGGCTCTCCGAGCTGGTTGAGGAGGAGCAGGAGAGGCGCCGGGGGCCAGCGGGGGGCCGGGGGGCTCTGGGGCCACGCCTGAAGGAGTGTGGTGGGGAGAAGACGGGAGGGGGGCTCGGGAGGGGCAGCAACAAGGGCTCCGAGGGGGCGTCTGGGGCCGCCTGCCCAGCCGGGGACATGTTCACGTACTCCCCGGCGGGAGGCTTCCTCTCCCTGCCCCCCGGAGCCCACTGGCCCATCCTGTCCGGGGAGCAGCTCCTGCTGGGGGACATCAGCATGTAGCCCCCGCTTTCCCGGGGGGGAGAGACGCTGCTGGGCGTCATGGGGACGTAGTCCTGCTCCTCGGGGCCCGGGGCCACCCCTGGCAGCATGGCCATGTACCCGGGCTCTGCGCCGTGGAGGTTCAGTCCCTCGGGATAGCTGGCCGAAAAGGCGGCAGGGTTGGCGCTCCGCCTGCGACGCAGGAGGCCAGGGGTGCCCTTGCCCAGCAGCAGCGGGGGCAGAGATGCCCGCTTGCTGGCCAGGCCTTCCGAGGGCCACTTGGGCAGGCCGGCCCCGCCGAGGGAGGCCCGCTGGCCCATGCTGATGTAGTCTAGCTCCCCCTCCACCACCATGGCGCTCAGGGGGTCGGGCGTGCTGGGGGGCCGCAGCTCCCCTGGGCTGGAGCCGCCTTCGTCGGACGACATGGCGCTGTAGTCGCTCAAGGAGTCCGGCTTCCTGGCCGCTGGCTTCTTTGGCCCCGGGGACGTGGGGCTCCACCCCAAAGAGGGCGTCCCACCACCCTCGGGGCGGTTCCTCCAAGGGAAGGTGCCTTGGCCGGGAGGAGGGTTGCCGTGGGGCTGACGGCGGGCAGGCACCAGGATGGGGGTGGAAGGCAGCGCCTGGCCCCTGCCGGGCCCCCGGAAGTCCTCGCTCAGGGCCTTCATGGCGTCCAGGATGGTCTCGTGCATGTTCTGGGCCACCACCAGGTCCTCCACCTGCATCCAGAGCTCCCCGGGGCCCGTGGCTGCCGAGCGGCCCACCTCCATGAAGAAGTAGTTCTCCGAGTGGCCGCAGCGCCGGATGTTGAGCAGCTGCAGCACCACGGCGGCCTCGTCCGAGTTCAGCCTCACCAAGCTGACCGTCTTCTCGGTCAGGCACAGCAGGTAGACGCCGGCCAGGTTCCGGGAGTGGCCCAGGCCCCTCGGGCGCAGGCTGACCTGCCAGACTTCCTTGAAGGGCGCCTCCCCGTCCCCCTCCGAGGGGGCTGTTCCTAGGAGGAGGAAAGGCTTGCATGAGAGGGGGGCCCAAGGCGGGCAGACAGGGGGAGGGGGCCGGGAAGACAGGGGGGGTCCCTCTTAGGCTGTGGGGGAAGAACACCCCGCGTCCTCTCCATGCCCGGCCAACCCATCCAGAGGAGGCACCGCGAGGGAGACTGGCAGAGAAGCAGGCGCCCCTCCCGCATCCGCGAAGGGGAGAAGCATCGCCGGGGGAGGGGCGGTTGCCAGGGAGACCCCCGGGGCTGGCAAGCGTCCCAGCTGGTTCTGGGAAGCGGCAGGGCAGGGGGGGAGCCGCAAGGGGGCCCGCGGGGGCCCTGGGGAGAAGGGGCAGCCGCTGGGAGCTGCTAGGAGGCTCGGCCCTGCCCCTCCCTCCCCCCCTCCCAGATGGGAGCCCTGTGTACTGGGCCTGTGCGCACATGTGCAAGACACACACACACACAGCAGAGGTGGCACAGCAGCAGGAGTGGGTGGACGGCTGCTGCCCAGGGAGAGCCAAGGCGGAAGCTGCGGCCAGCAGCAGCCCAGCCTCGCCTGGAGCAAAGTCCACCCCCCCCCCACGGCTGCTCCTCCCCACGGCCGCTGACGGCCAGCACCTGGGCCTCTCCCAAGAAGCCTGGCCACGGAAGCGGTGCCAGTTCCCCCTGGAGCACGCTGGGCCTCAGTGACGGTGCATGGCGGCAGCCGCTCGGGCACCCAGCCCGCTCAACCTTTGCTCCCCAGGCCCCACGCACGGAGCGTCTCCCCCCAGGCGGCTGCACCGCGACTGGCCAGCCCTACGCCAAGGGAGGGGCGGGGGGGGGGGCAGGGCAGCCTTTGCTAGTCTTCCCCAAATGGGATCCCAGTGTGTTCAACACCCGCAAGGATGGGCTTTGGGCTCTCCTGAGGGTGGGGGACCACAGCCGACAACCGGATGCCCCACACACCCAGGGGAGGGGCAGACAATGGTCCAGAGGTGGGGAGACTGCTGGGAGGCTCCCCTGAATTATAAGCACTCTTGGGGAGGGGTTGGCCTAGGATGTTGGGGGGAGATGCTGGCACTCCAGAGGTATTCACCCTGGAGGGGCAAGCACTGAGGCCGTCCGGATGGTCTGGAGGGCTCCCCTTGGGGAGGAAGGGCCGGGAGGGAGGCCCAGTAAAGCCAGCAGCCTGGTGGGGAATGATGGGCTCTGGGGTCCCACATATCCGTAGCCCAACAGCCCTGGTGTTATGGTTCCCCACATGCACACCAGCCATGCAGCAGCCTCCAGTATCGGGGGGGGGGGGTGTCCAAGGGCCACCAGAGGGGCCAGGAATGGGGCAGCAGTGAGGGGGAACGCTCAGAACCAGCTGAAGATGTGGGGAGCATCCTGGCCCTGAGCAGACGCCCGCCCCTCCCACAGATGCCCCACCGATCACTTGCTTCAAGTGGCTGCCACGGAGTCTTAACGGGTCCGGCTGTCTCTGAGGCTCCCCCACAAGGCCCCTCGTCCCCGGTTGGCATGGGCTGACGGGTGCCGCACCCCTCGGCCTCCCCCAGAAGGCGGCCCTGGCTCTTCCACGGGCTGCCCCAGGGACCCCCCACTGGCCCCACACTCACCCTTTCCATGCAGCTCCACCATGGCCAGGTACCAGGCCTGCTGCTGCTCGGCGCTCTCGGCGGCCACGCCAAAGGTGCCCTCGCGCCCACAGAGGACGATCAGGTGCTGGTGCCGGGCGTCGGCCCGCTTGTTGATGGTCAGCATGCCCTCCAGCGGGAGGGTCTTCTTGGGGCGCGAGCAGAGGCCCCCCGCCCGGAATTTCTTCTCGTTCTCATAATACTCCAGCCGGGGGGGCCCTCGCTCCCCCCCGCAGCGCAGCACGAAGTAGCGTCGTCGTCGGGATTTCTGCTTGCGCAGGTAGCCGCACAGCCGGACGTCGGCCAAGATGGGGGGGTCGTTCCCAGGGTCCATGGTGTGGGGGCCAAGCGGAGGGTGGAGGCTGCCAGCCCAAGGGGGCAGCCACTCTGCATCCCTCTTGGGCGGAGCGGAGTTGGGAGGCAGGCAGGAAAGGACCCTTCTGCGCAGATACCGGCCCCGAGGACCACCTGCGGCTGCCCCATGCACCAAGGGGAGGGGGCTCGGCTCTCCTCTGCCGCAGAAGAGCCAGGCAAATGCGCTCCTTAATTCGGGGGGGGGGATGCTTGCTTGGGAAAGTCCAGAAAATTATTCCCCTTCCTCACCCTCCCAAAAACCCTCAGCAGAGTTCAAAAAAACAGGAAAAAGAGAAGCAAAGCCCCCTCACCACCAGGAAGGCTGGGGGGATCCCCCCCCCCAGATCCTCTAACAAGGCCCCATCCGTGCCTCTGGCTTGCAGGGACCCGTCTTGGCTCCGGGGTCTGCTGGCTTTGCAAGAAGTTGGGATTTAATAAAAGTCACATGCCGAGCGGAGGAGGAGAGGAGGGAGAAGGGCAGAGGAATAAAATGTCAGCTTCTGCCAGTTTGGGAAACTTCTGGCGGCTCTTCTGTGCCTTCGGCTCCAGGGTCCCCTTCGCCTTCGGGAGCTGCGCGGAGGAGCAAAATCCCTGCTGGTCCCGGCGCGGGACCCCTGGGGAAAGAGAAGGGCGGGAGGGGAAAGCGGGTCAGGTGCGGCGTCTGGCCATACCTGGCCGCGCATTTCACGGAAGTCATCGGCAAAAAGCAGGAGGGGGAAAGAAAAGGGTGGCGGCGTCACAAGGCAGCCCCCCCCCGGCCCCCGAGCAGGACTTGGGCAAAGTTTCCAGGCAAAATGTCAGCGGCGGCGGCGGTTCCCTGGCACCAGGGGCCCCGCTGGGCATCGCTCGCCTTTCGCAGCCCCCTCCGTCTGTTTCCAGGCCCTTCAAAAAAAGGGGGGGACAGAACGGAGCCCCCTTTTCTTTCCCCTAATAAATCAAGCAGCCCAGCCAGCCGGTCGGGAGGAGGAGCGCAGCGCAGCGGCGCAGAAACCCGACTCCAGCCTTCCCCAGCGGTTTTGCGGGGCCCCCAAAGTGGCCACGGAGGAGGCGGAGGCGCCGTCGGGGGGCGCGCAGAAGCCCCCTCTGGCTGCGATGGGGGGGGTCCCAAGCGTGCTTCTTCAAGAGCCCGACGGGCGAGGGGAGGGGGCGCTCGGAGTGGCAGGCGGCACGGCCCTCCCTCTCCCCCCCGACTCACCCGCAGGCCAAACCTCCGCGGGCCTCGGAGCCGTCTGGTGCCAAGCCCGTCCCCCGCCCCGTCCCGCCGAGGGCGACCGACCCAGCGGCCTCGTAGACCCCCACTCCGGCCGCCCGGGGGGGCTCGACGGCCCTGCGCGCCCGGCGGCTCCAGCAGCGGAGGGTCCCGGGCGCGCGCGGGGCTGCGGGGAGGCGGAGGGCCGACCCGCCCTGCTCCCCCCGG